TACAACCTGCAGTTGGCCCTTAGGTTTATCCACACATTCCCCTCTTCCTCATAGCTACATGATGGCCGTGTTCCAATATTTAAGGCGCTGCCACAGAGAGGAGGGGGTCAAGCTATTTTCCAAAGCACCTGAAGGCCAGACAAGGAATAATGGATGGAAACTGAACAAGGAGAGATTCAACCTGGAAGTCGGGAGAAATTTTCTGACCGTGAGAGCAATCAACCCGTGGAACAGAAATTGCCTTCAGAAGTTGTGGGAGCTTCATCACTGGAAGCCTTCAAGAAGAGACTAGACTACCATCTGTCAGAAATGGTGTAGGGCCTCCTACTTGGCCAGGAAGTTGGACTAGATGACCTACAAGGTCCCTTCCAACTCTGTTAATCTGTTAATCTATCTCATTTCCCATTATTGACATGGCCTCATGACATAACATCATCTCATCTCCAGCCTATAGCTGAGGCTGCTTAACTATATTTGCCTGATTCAAGGTTAAAACGATGTTTCCCATTTTCTCCCCACTCAGCTTTCTATAGGCACAATCTGTGGCATTTCAGTGGTTTGCTATTCTTGCTCTCTGAGCTTGGCTGTTTGGTTGCAGATATTTCATAATCCACCATCATTGTCAGAGAGCATGAGACTTCCTGCCTGTTTATATATAGTCATTTGCCCTGCCAACTTTGGTGGGGGTGTGGTTTCCTCCTTGGTAGTTCCTAGAGCTACAGATGTTCTCCTTTACTGGGACTATAGTAGTTGCACAAAAGGCACCGGTCTCCCTGCCCACTGGCCTCCCTGGCTATTTTCAGTAGCTGCGGATACAGTCTGTTCCTTTGAAAAGTGTCCAAGGGCATTAAGGCTTGAGCAGCATGACAAAGCACGGGGCATCTGATGCCAGCTCTTTCTCTACCTGAATAAATAAATGTTCTGACTGCCAGCAAAACAGCACAGGTTAAAGAATGGAAATCCATCCACCCACTCTCAGCACAAAACATATACACACACAACACCTCTGTAGGGACAGTATAAGAGCGAGACGGCAAACAAGACTGTAAGATGGAGTGACCGGGAGAAGGAGGAGTGAAAAGAACAAGAGTAAGTCAGGTGACTGAAAGAAGAGCGAGGGAGGGAGAGAGAGAAAGAGGGAGAGAGAGGATAATCCATGGATAATCTGATGGTTGGGCAAGAGTTGATCCACTGGGTGAACAGAAGCTTCCTGGTAATGCACAGAAAGCAGAAACACCCCCCCCCCTCCACTCCTCAGATCAGTTAAACCCACCGTCTTGTCCATCAAAACTCACCCTTTTCCTTCCTTCACCCCAACTCATGTTAACAATTGGTGATGTTTTTCCCACCAGCAAGAAATCCACCAGTAGCTTTTCCTAGCCTGATCCTTCCACTTGTCGGCATTATTACAAAAAGCAAACAACAATCAGCTGTTAGAGCACATTATGCCGGCCTACTCTACAGGTTGCCTTGCATTAAATCTGCTGAAGCTTAAGATAGCTCATCGGAGCACCTTAAAATAATCCTGCAGCTCGCCAACGGAAACATAAACAGTGTGTTTACCTCATCTTCTGTGTATCCCAGGATCCCTTTCATTGGCCCTTTAGCTGCCTTCTTGATAGCATCTTTAATCTGAGCATAGGTAGCTGATCTAGAAAGGCGGCAGGTCAGGTCAACAACAGACACATCACACACTGGCACACGAAATGCCATGCCAGTCAGCTTCCTGGTGGGGGGTGGAGAAGAGATATGGTCATTAAAAGGAGAAAGAAACAGTTCCCATGGCAGTGTAGATTTGAAGTGTCTTACAACCAACCCCTCTGTCTTCCAAGGAATGAGGGTGAGAACTGACAGTCTGGCATCTAAGACTAAGACTCCAACTAAGTTGTTCTGACCCAGCTCCCTAAACACAACAAACTCTCTATTTAAATCAATGATTCCTTTATTAGGAGCACCAGCCATTCCCAGCAAAAAAGTTTCTCTCTCAATGTAGGCTAACAAGTCTGTCCAGCAGTGGGACGAATACTCTGCCACATTTATTCATCTCCACCCACTGCCTTTTATCCCCAGAACTAGGGTGGGGCTTCGCTAGCAGCGGTGGCTCTTCTGTCCCAAGGATCAGCCCACAGATTTCCACTGTTCTCCTCTCCTCTGCCTTCGGCACATCCAGGCGTCAGGCACTGGACCCAGCTGTTCCTCCTCTTCCTCATCAGCCACCTCCAGACCTGGGGTCTGTTGACTCTTCATCTGATGGACAGCCCAGGCTCCACCGCTGTCTCTCTCTCCTTCTAGCTCCATTCCTTCTTCCCCCTCGGAGCTCTCAGGTTGCCTTGATGCTGACCCTAACTCCCACGCCTCCTCCTCCTCCGATTCAGCTCTGGGTGAGGCCAGCAGCCAGCAGGCCACAACCTAAGTATTCCCAACTGCAATAAATGTCATTTGGCAGAATCTCTGCTATTTTGTTTTCTCTGATTTTGCTAATGTCTTTATTATTTCCTTAATGATATCAACAACCTACCACATTGGGGTAGATTGACCCCACTGGGCCAGCAGTCTATCTAACTCACTCAAAATAAGTAAGGATGGGTTTTAGACTAGCTCTTTCATTCTTTCATCAAGTAAGCATGGCTAATGATCAAAGGTTACAGAATAAATAATATAAAACATCCGGGTGTCCGAGAAATATTCTCAGAATGAAATCCTGGCAGTTCTATGGTTTTCCCTCATTCTTATGATCAATAATTAGAAATACAGCCATGCAAATCTCTTATGGTCGCATCTTTAGGATTGGCCCAAATGCACAACGCCACCCCCACCCGCTCTTTTCAGAAGTTAAATTTGTTCTGCATACCCATTAAGTTCAGGAATGACCTTGCCCACAGCTTTGGCAGCACCGGTAGAAGCTGGAATGATGTTCTGGTGAGCACCTCTCCCATCACGCCAGGCTTTGGCAGAAGGTCCATCCACAGTTTTTTGAGTGGCAGTGTAAGCATGGACAGTGGTCTGCAGACCAGAAATGTCAGTTGGTAAGGAACAGACGATGCAAAGCATTTTTCAACAATAGATTTGATCTGAACAAGTCACTTGGGTTTCCTAAAGGGGCCGTTTTTCTATGTACAAATGGAACTAATACAGAATACTTAAGGGGGTATTTGCTATCATTTGCAATCTTTTGTTTTTTTCTGCACTGATACACAAATGCTGAAGACAGAAGTGTATTATTTATTTATTTATTTATTTATTTATTTATTTATTTATTTATTTATTTGACTTATATACCGCTTCATAGGGCTTTCAGCCCTCTTTAAGCGGTTTACAAATTTTTAGCAAATTGAGTCAGCAACTTGCCCCCACAGTCCGGGTCCTCATGCCAAAACTTATGGAAAATTA